TGGTCAAAACAGATCTGTCTTAATAAATCAATTATCGAAACGAAGATCTCAATTACCATTCACTAGATCAAAAGGTTTAATACAATGTGTTTTATTTCATCCAATTAGGCCTTATTTGTTTGTAGCAGTAAGTAAAAAATATAAATTAAATGTATAATTTTATAAGTATAATTGCAATAAAAAAAAAATAATTTTAGACTCAACGAAACATACGAATATATGATTTAGTAAAACAAGAAATGATTAAAAAATTATTATCGAATTCACAATGGATATCATCAATGGCAATTCATCCAGGTAAATAAATTGAATATTACATGAATAATTTATATTATCATTATTTAATTATATTTATATTTCTAGGAGGTGATAATATTTTAGTAGGCACTTATGATCGCAAAATGCTTTGGTTTGATCTTGATTTAAGTACAAAACCTTATCAGACATTACGTTTACATGGTACGGGCGTTCGAAGTGTTATCTTTCATAAGCGATATCCTCTTTTTGCATCTGGTTCTGATGATAGGAGCCTTATTGTTTCTCATGGAATGGTGTATAAGTAAGATAATTTATAATTATTTAATATAATTTTCATTATGTATTAATTATTTCATAATGCATTTTAGTGATTTATTGCAAAATGCATTGATTGTACCACTTAAGAGATTATGTAATCATGAATCTTATAATGATTTTGGTATTTTGGATGTGATGTTCCATCCTATTCAACCATGGGTATTTTCTGCAGGTGCAGATTCAACAATACGAATGTATACTTGAATTATATATATATATTTATAATCACAGTTAACAATGTTTTTTCTTATGAATTTTTTAATGTAATTTTTTAATGCAATCAAATTATGAAACTAAAATTATCGTATTAATATCATAAAAATTTTGATAAACAATTTTTTATAAATAAATTTTTTCCTAATATTTTTATTTTGTGCGCAAGTTTAAAGTATAACTTTTGCACTATAACTGTTTAAAGACTAAACATATAGGAACTTTCGTATTGCAATAAAAAATTATACGATAATATAATTACAATAAAAAATTATATAGAATAAATATATCATAATTAAAATAATAAAGATTTATCTATTTTTATCATAATTTATAATATTTTTAATATCTTAGTATTTAAATAAATTTTAGATTAAAAATTAGATAAATCTTTTAAATATACTTATCTATTGTAAAAAATCTAAAATTACTTTTTACATATATAAAAAAGAAAAAGATTTAAAAAAATTGATTGTTTTCATTAACAATAAAATTATCAGTAAATAGTTAAAGATGTAAAGAAAAAACATGTAATTAAATATTTTATTAAATTTTTTACTTTAAATATTTTAGTAAATTTTCATAAAAAAATGTTAACTATAATATAAATTAGAATAACTTGAAAAGTTTGAAGTTTTGTAAAACAAATAAATTTATTTAAAATTATATTGTATTTCTCAATGATAATAATTTTAAACAAGAAAAAAAATCTTAATATTTGATTATGATTCATAAAATATTTTTGGCTTAATCTTATAATATTCTTAGTTAAATTACTAATTGTTTATCATGAAATTTTAATATTAAATTTAAATAGAACCATTTATTGTAATTTATAGATAAATATTAAATTAAAAATACCAATTATAATGCACAAAGTTTTAAATAAACATTTCTCTAAAGTTTCATAATAAGGAAATTTTTAAAAAATATATGATATAGAAATAAAATATATTATAGATATATAAATTAAATTGTTCATTCATTCACATATAATCAACAATTTTAAAAATATAGTAGCAAATTAATGTTATGCATATATAATATTATATATATGCAGTATATATATATATATATATATGAGAGTTTTTTAAGATGAGGGTGGTGAATGACCCAAGCATTGCCATTCAGGTTCTCCACATTCACAAATACGACCAGCGTGTTTGACTTGGAAAACTGTTACTATGCCGTGATTGTCATCGAATCTACAAGTGATATGTAAATCGTGAATTAAGAAAGTATAAAATTGACTACCCCATCGTTGTCTTAAATATACAGATCTAGGATCTTCACGCAATACATTTTCAATTGCAATCTTTTGATCATTAATTTTAGTTCCTAAGATTTCATTTAATTGAATTAAAGCACGATCGTTAAATACCACACATAGAGGTGTTCGAGGTCTTGATATCCATTCTGGAATTCTTACTTCTGAAGAATTAACTCTTGATTCTCTATCTTCAGCATTTCTCAATTCAGAAGAAAATACTAAATGTGCATCTCCATTGTCTGGAAAACTATTATTTGATGTAGTTCTTATTACTTGATTCGGTAAATGTTGCGGAGTGAGAATTTGTGATTCTAATCCTTCTTCTCCATCAGGAGCTTCTCGTACTCCCATTCTTATGGGAGAATTATCGATTCTTGAATTTAATGATCGTCTATGAATTAAATCTATATCTGTACCACAAATGGTATTTGGTCCATCAGCTCCATCTAAAAGTCTAGATCGAGAAGCATGCGTTTCTGTATAATTAGATTCTACGTTTCTCGATTCATGTGCTGATTCAATATTAGTACGATCATTTACGTTAATATTTTGTAATCCGTTATTTATATCTAGTAAACTTTCTGATTGTTCAACATTAGACGGAAATATGTTGTGTCTACTTATATTCAAACTTGATCTTGTATCGGAAAATGTATGAGGAATTCTATGTATATCAGTTACATCTATATTATGTTGTAATGTACTATTATTGTGCAAAGTGATATCATTTAATTCAGAAAAATGTCTTATACTGGTGTAATTTTCGAAATTAGAATTTCTTTGAAACTCTTCAGCTTGTAATCTTAAAGCAATTTCTTCATCTCTAGAAATATCCGTTTCTTGATTTGTTTTATGAATAGTTTTTCTATAACAAGTTTCTGAAAATAAATTTCTTGTGTCATCTCCAAGACTAACACTAGTTGTACCACATATTTGATTTCTGGCAGTTTCTTCTATACAATCAAATGCATCATCTAGATTGGATTCTTGTGATCTATTTCTTGATTTCTCAAAACAAGATGGACTGTCATATTGTGGTATATAGGGTTTTATATCTAGTACAGGTGATTGATCAACCATATCTACACCTTCAAAATATATTGTATAATTTTCTATACTTGTAATTTTTACTAAACTTAAACCAATTGGACATGGACGATGTGGAGAACGTGTAGAAAATACACCTGTTTTTGTACCATTTAATCTTGGTGGTGCAACTTTGGCACGAACATGTGTGGATTCATTTCTATGAAAGTAGAATAGAACCCTATTGAAATAGAAATTATTTTATATTAATTATATTAATTATTATATTATCTTTAGCAATGAATAAAATAAATTTTTTATGCGTTGTAGATTAATGATTCATAATAACTCATATAAAATTAGAAAAAAAAATATTTTGTATTATATTTAATTAATTTTATTTTATTATATTTATATTTATTATATAATATTATATTATATTATATTTATTATATTATATTAATCAAGATTAATATAATTATAAGTTAAAAATAAATTATATTTAAAAATTTTAATTATCTTACCACAAGTGTGAAAAATCTTGTAATCCTTCAAGTGCATGATCAGGATTGGTAAATATTGAATTATATAATAACAGTTTTCCTGGTACTTTTCCACAGACTCTTGTTTGTCTGGGTGTAGCACGTTTACTAGGAAAACAAGTAGATATTACTCCAATTGGTTTTAATTTTATAGCATCATTATCTGTACTAGTGCTAGGTTTCACATCATTTGGACCTATAACTTTTGTTTCAGACATAGATGATTCATTTTTGTATGATTCCAAAAGATGTTTTATATCGTTAACATCTTTTTCATGAATGTATCGAAGACTTTTTATTTGTTGTCTATTAAAATTAAAAAAATCACATAATAAAATATATTAATATTAGTTTACAAAAATATACATATATAAAATATTTAAATATTTAATATAATTTAAATATTAATATTTTCAATTATTTAATTCATGTGAAATAGATATTTCATGTGAATATTCTATGTACAAAATATATATATATATATATATGTATATATGTATGTATGTTATATTTACTAAGATATTCTAGTATATGTAAAACAATATATTTAAACGGAACTTGTTGATATTTCGAATTATCTATATAATATTCGAAATATCTATTTTATATATGAATTTATAAGACAGTAGCAATCAAATATAAACAATACCTTAAATTGTTAATTTCTTTTCTAGCTATATTTAACTGACTAAGCAAATATTTATTACTAAAGTCCGAATTTTGACACGCAGAATCCATAACTATCAACTACTCTTTCGAGCGTAATCACCGGTTAAATTAAGTAGAGTGAAACGAGAATCACCTGTACCATAGATCAAATATACGCAATAGTGAAACTACTGATTCTATAGAGTTTGAAATAATTTAGTAAGAAAAGAACGGATGTAGAGGCGATAGTATCGCTCAGATTTTCATTGAATTATAACAAAATTTATTTATGTATAAAATAAATATAATGAATAAAATGAATTATATGAATTATATGAATTTAGATTTTATATTATATAAATTAATTTTTATTAATATTTTTTATAACTTTTATTTTTACATTTATACAATATCTTTTTTTATTTCTAAATGTTGTACTATAAAAAATAATTTAATACATAAAAAATTTACTAATATATTAAAATTATTTTATTTACAAAAATATAAATATACAATAACAGGTTTAATACAATAAAAAAACAAACATTATTTAACATTTTAAAAGATATATTAAAATATTATATTACATATAAGAAGAATAAATATATAATATACAATAAAGGAGCTATATTTACATATTACTATATAAATTATTTTATTGAAGGTTTTAAAATAATTTGTTATTTAAAATGAACAAGTTTTTATTATTTATTTTATTAAATAATATTTTTTTATTTCATTGCTACAAACCTTACAAAATATTTTTTAATAAAATATACAAAATTAACACTTTATTAATTGTTTTAAACCTAGCATCCAACTTTTTCATCTGGTAATTTAATTTTACCAAATAAAGAATTATATAGTTCATTCTTTGCATGATCTGTCCACATATCATTTATTGTGATAGGAGCCATAAAGTTTATTAATTTATTATGTACATTATATCGTATTCTTCTACCTTTAGTAGCTCTTGTATCTATTTTTCTTTTCATTTTATGCCTCATATTTTGTAATTTTATCCATTGTTTACTAAGTTGTACTGGATCAGTAATATCAGATGATTTATATTCAATTAGATCTCTCAAAAGTTGATGATAAAAATCATCATCATCATAAATTTCAGAATCATATTCCTGAAGTTTCCTACCATCATTATCTTCTGTTAATTCTGCTTTACCAATAATTTTATATTCTGACCGTTTTAATCGACTTCTATTACGCAATTTTTGTTTGTCATTTAAAGCAAATTCAATTTGTTTTAATGTTGATTCACTTGTATTTTTATTTAATTTACCACTAGCTATTTTTGTCTTTTCATTCCACTTTTGAATAATAGAATTTCTGTAATTTATATAAGATTTATGATTATTATTTAATATTTTTTCATAATTGCAAAGTTTTAATTTCTTTTTAAATATATTGTTATTAAAATTATTTATATCTTCATCTAAAATTGTGTTTTTTTCATTTTCACTTTCTATATCTGAAAGAATTTCTTCATTTACATTTTCATTTTCATCTTCTATATTTGAATTTCTATACTTTTTTTCATCTTTATTTTCATTTTCATCTTCTGTATCTGAAGGAATTTCTTCATCCATTGGGTCCCTTATATTTGCTACTTTATCTTTGCTTTCCTCAGCTTTTCTTTTTTTATTATATTTAGATAAATGTTTTGTTTCAGGATATTGTTTTAAAAGAAAACTTTGCAATTGCAACATATTATTTAATAATGTTTTCAATTTATTTTTCACTTCATCAGTTGTTTTCATATATTCTGTATTTGTTTTAAAATTGTTGTAAATATCATACTGAGGCATTTGATTACTAGTAATTAAACACTTTTGTAATTTTATTCTAATTTCTAATAAATTTTCCCAAAGTTGTAATTGATTTCTAACACAGTTACTTTTTTCTAATTCGGTTTCCATATTTATTTTCGATATTGTTTATATATTAAATTTAATTATTTTGATTTAGAATATGTGAGAGCACGTGACATTCATACTATCGCCATGAGACTATGTACACGTCTTTAAGGAATTAGGAATGACAACGATACATCGATATTTAGAGATTGATATATCGAAACTATTGATATTTTTAATATCGATATTTATAAATTTATATATTTAAATTACCAATATTTATTTGTTGGATTTTATTTCTTCTGAAATTTACTATTATAAAAATTTATTAAATATCAATTTAGTGAGCAATTTAAAAATTTTAACATAACATCCTATTTAATATAATATTTCATCCAATATAAATATATTCAACTTGAAGTTAATTGTAAGCAACCAAATCAATTCAGATGTATTCATGTTGGATAATTGCATGGAGCGAAATTGATATTTTAACATTAAATCAAATGCTTCGTTCAGTGATAAAAATTTTTTATTCTTTATTAAATTTCATTATTTTTGTTCGTACATTACATTTTATATTTTATTATTATGTTTGACTCATAATTATTGAACATTATTATTACAACTTATACAATAGTTGATTATTTATATTACATTTCATTTTTTTTATTCTTACAGCTACTTTCTAATCTGTAGTTCGTCTTTATTCTTGTAAAAAAACTAATTTAGTCAAAAAAATGAATATGTTAAATATATTTTTTTTGAAAATATTAATTATATAATAGGATTAAATTATCTTCTAAGAATCTGATCTTATGTTTAATTTTATATTTTTATCAACTATCTTTTTCTTAAAAATTTTTACAGTTCTTAAATGAATTTAATGAAATTTTATAGTATATTTTATAAAGGAAATATTGATATATTATAATTATTTTTTATTTATTTATTTTTTATAAATATTTTTTTATTTAAATTTATTATCATTATCTTCTTCATTATTACTATCATCATCTTCAATATTTTCTTCATTATTACTATCATTTGTTTCATCATCACTTTCTTCTTCTATGCTATTTATATTTTCATTTTCTGATATATTTTGTATATTGAAATTTTCATTATCCTTAAATATGTCTTTTCTTGAAACTTTCTTACCCTTATATCTATGATAGAAATTATAATATCATTTAATAACTTCATAATGAATAATAAATTATTCATTAATTTAAAATAAAATTTTAAATTTACCTTTTATCTATTTGATCCAAGAAATAAGCATTTTGTTTACGTATCTCTGAAACTTGAATATTATTATCTGAATTGTCACTTTCATCATAATAATCAACTATCTTTGCTTTTGTTTCTTCGACTTCATCATCAGAATCAAAATTTATTGGTGTTGGAGTAATTAATGAATTTATTTTATCTGCTAAAGTTGTTCTTTTTTTTTTCAAAGACATTATTTTAATAAAAATTAATATAAATCAATTTAATTATAAATAATAAATTTTAATATGTATATTTTTCTTCATAGATAATCATAAATATAACCTATGTATAAGAATATTATTATATAGTTTTTCATTAAAATATATTTACAATAAATTTATATTTTATATGTAATAACTATCACTTAATATAAAATATGATGCTACTTGTACTATCATAAAAGTTGGTTTATCTAATATTTTAATAATTCAACATATCTATTTAATAATTAATATACTATATAACATAAACAATAGGTCTAACATTCAATATATTTTTTTTATCCTATTTTTTGAGAGTATTAAGTTCTCTTATTTTTATTCTATTTTGAATCGATAATATCGCATTGAGATGACAATGTAGATTAATATAATATGACAATAGTAACATGTACCTACTACGTGGTGCGCTCAAATTGCATTGACATATATATATATAGAGAGAGCTGTAACATTTCCTAGTAAAATAGTAAAAAAATCTTTTAGTAAATTTATTATATCATATTATTGAGCATGCTCAAATATGTTTGTATCTGGATTTCATAAAAAGACTATGCTTAATACGTGCAACGTATGATAGTTGAAAATCATGATAATATCGTGAAATTTGTCACAATATTTAAAATAAAGAAATAATAAATCATAATATACATATACATAAACATATATATATATATATAAACAAAAAGACAAATCGAGATGGAATCTAACTCTGTACAGAGTACAATTACAAAAGTGCGAGCAAAATTTAAAGATGTTCGAAAATTATTGGATGATGTCGACAAATCTACAATGGAAAGCAAACCTTATAAAATAAAATATCAAGCAATTGAAATGTTTAAGTCAATGGAAGCAGATTTAATTAGCATTTCAGAGAATATGTCACAAGAGGAACAAAAAGAAAGAGTCATAATGCTTGCTATGATTCACTTAAATCGTGGTTTATTACATGCTGATACGGAAGAATTAAAAGCAAGTGAAGAACAATTTATGGAATGTATAAAATTATTGAGAAATAAAGAATTAGAACCAGAAGCTATTATATCAGTATTAAGTGCTTTAAATCAATTGGGTATTATATGGTCTCAATGGAATCAACCTATGAAGGCAAAAAATTTTTTAGATCAAGCAGAGAAAATTTACAACAATTTTATAAATATTAATAACCCATGTAGAGATCCTATTAATATAGCTCAGAATTTTGGTATTGAACAAATTAAAGATGAACTAAGTCCTAAAGAGGTATTAGAAAAAGTTAATACTTTAACATTATATTATCTAGCTCAAGTATATAGTTCTTTGAAAGATCATTGTCAATCTGCAATATATTGTCATATGACCTTGCGGAAGCAATTAGGTCATAATGAAATTGTGCAAGATTTAGATTATATTGATTGGGCATTAAATGCAGCAACATTATCTCAATATTTTATGGAAAATAATAGTTTCTTTCAAGCAAGACATCATTTAGCAGCAGCATCTTATATATTACAAAAATATAAAAATATATTAGAACAAAAATCCAAAAATAATGAGGAAAATGAAACACTTGCAGCTGAATGGGAAAATTTTAAACATAGAAGTGCAGATGTTGCTAGATGTTGGGCTAAATATGGAATTTTGCTTATGTTTTCATCAAAAGAAAGACTTATGCAGAAAAATGAAACAGGACAGGATAACAAACAATTAAATAAAAATTCAAAATCAAAAATAATTAATGATTTAAAGTTCAGTATTTTAGAGAAAGAGATAGAACCAATTACCAATCAAATAACTGATAAATATTTATTAGATTTTGATGATGCTAGATCAGTTTTCTTAAATACTCAAAAATGGTTAGAACAAGCTAAAATTTATTATACTTTAGAAAATCATGCATCTGATTATATATTAATTATACAAGATAATTCTCGAGCTTATAAATATTTGTCATTTTTTGAAGAACATGAAGATAGACAAGCAAAAATGCATAAAAGAAGAATAGATATTTTAGAAAATGTTATTACGGAATTAAATCCACAATATTATGAATCTGCCTGTAGACAAATTTGGATTGAATTAGGAGAAACATATTCCGATATTCTTGATATAAAACTTGATCGTTTACGATCGTCCGATGAAAAACCTTCACCACAAACATTAACAAAAATTAATCATTTAGCAAAAAATTCTATAAAAAATTTTCAAGCATTTCTTGATTCATTACATGTTCGTAATTCTAATTCCGAAATACAAGAATTTTCTGATGAAGTGATGCAACCAGCTTTATTTTCTTACTTTCATCTTGGTAGATTGTATAATAAGATAATAACTTCTGATAAAACGATTCAAATAAAAAATATGCAGAATAGTATCAATGCATATAAATTTGTAATTGATTATTGTGAAAAATATCCCAAAGCAGCTGAGGTAATGAAAGTTGAATTAAACTTATGTAAAGAATTAGTAAATTTATCAATAATTAAATCAAATCATTACCAATCAAAGTAAATAACAAATATAATATAAGAAGATTAATGAAAAAAAATTAAAGAATAATGATTAAATAAAATTAATAATATTCGATATGTTATTTAATGAAATTCTAAACTTAACATATCTTATATAAATTATTTTGAATTTTCAAAAGCAAAATATTTTCATCTCTTCTATCTTTATAATTGTGACAAACTTCAATATCATTTTCGTAATTGTATAGTTATTTTATAATAATAGAATTATTATAATGTATAAAGTAAGAATATTATGTATTATTAACATTAATAAAATTAAATTATAAAAATATATCTCATGTGTATTTTATATTTCTTAAAAATTATATTGTATTTTTTAAAAAATAAATCAATTATAAATTTATTAAATTTACTATTATTATAGTTTTTATTAATTTTAATTAATTTTATTAAATTTAATTTATTTTTCTTACAAATAGAGATGAAAGGTAATTAAATAATTAATGCTAATTGTAAGATAATTTTATATTTATTTCATAAAATAAAAAATCACTTCTTTTCAACTTTTTTACTTGTATTTGTAGTCTTTGTTTTTTTAGCTTTCTTTTTTAATCTGTAAAATGCATCTGTTCTCAATTTGTTTCTAATTTGTCTTGCTTTTCTTAATTTAAAACGATCAAAATCACTAAGTTCCAGCCGCTAAAATTAAGTAAACATATTTATTATTACTGTGTACAAATAATTTTTTTTGTTATTATACATAAAAGACATATAAAGATGTGTATATGATGATTTAATATATATATTATATATTATATACATATATATTATTATACCCACTTTTTTCTTGGCTTCAACTTTTCTTGCCCACATAGTTTGTTTCCAAAGATCATTAATGTTTGCAGCTTCCCATGCTTTACGTACAACACGAGTGGATCCAGTATATGGGAAACGTATACGGAATTTAGTTAAATGAAGATCATTTAATCTCATTTCACAACGTGGAACATTTGAAGAAGGTCCATCAACTAAAACCTAAAAAAAAATTAAAATTTAATATAAAATATTATTATTTCTTTAATATATAATTATTAAATTATATTTTCCATCAGTGAAAGTATATTGACATCAATTATATCTCAGCCGGCAATTCCTATCAAGATACTGGATCATCATTATTATATTATTATATATTAAACTTACTTATAATTATACTTATAATTTATATTAAATAATCTTCAATTTAATATTTAATAAAAAATATAATATATTTATAAAATTTTATTTTACCCGATTTTGATCGATGATGTCTACAATAGCAACAAGTTTACCTTTGTGCGGCCCATCGCTCACATAAGCAATACGACCAGATTCTACGAACCTTTGAAATGGCTATTTAACAAAAAAAAATCCAATTATTTTTATAATAATGAAAAATTACATCATAAATTATAAATAATTTCTAATTATTAATTTAATATATATGATTTACAATACATACCATGTGGTTGAAAACTATGAAAAATGCAAGCTTATATTGAATAATTTTTATATTTCTTATACATTTTCAAGAATAAATAAATATAAATTAAATTATAAAATATGTAAAAACAACTTTTTTAAAATGATAAATTCATAATACTATAAATTTTATGAGTAATATCAATAAATTTAAAACTATGCTACACTTACCATGGTTTACCGGAAGCAAAAGACCAATATAATCTATAACCGGATAAAGTATTGTTAACACCAACTGATAAAAGTAATTTTTCTACTCAAAAATTCCCTAGATACAACTTATAAAAAATAAATAAATAAATATTAATTTATTTTGTATTAATTCAAGAAGCAATAAAAAATATATATATATATACATAAATTATGTATTAAATAATTCATTTAATATATCATATATCATTATATATCATTAAACTCGATACAATTCACAAGAAATGGCAAATTGTTACAAACTATTCATTTAAATTGAATTAATATTTAAATATTAAAAGAAAAAAGAAAAGAATCTTTATTTATACTGAACTTGATATTTAAAAAAAATATGTAAAAAATATGTGTGTAAAAAAATATTTTTATATGTGATATTTTACAATATTTAATGAAATATATATATAATTTCTAATTTTATTATTTTAAATCGAAGACTGCAGAATAAAATTTCTGATTTTTGCATTAATATTTTAATTTGTGTGATACAAAGATTTTGAAAAGTATAAATCTATCATATACTTTGTCTGTGGCATAACTGTTGAAAATATTTATATATGATATAATATTTATATAAATATTTCTTATTAAAATATCTTTTAGTTGTATCTAAATAGATAAAAATATAAAAAAAATGGCTTTAACGAATATAGACTATACAAATTATACAACAAAATTTAATTATATAGTAGAAAAATTACTCGTATTGACAAAGAATTATGAAACAAAATTAATTAACAATTATCTTTGTGTTCTTAATAATCTTGATTATCGTTATTTAACAGATTTAAATAATGATGTAAGTTTAATCATACAA